TATAAAACGATATTGCATCGTTTGGAAGTATTGCAATTAGGACGGCATTGCTTATTTCAAGTTATAACTCTTTTGTTTACATTCATACAGTGTCGTATTCGCAATACTATGTTATCAAAGGCGTTTTAATTGATGCCTTTTCTGGGGGCGGCTGGTGTGGGCTGTGGAGTGTTCGATTCATGAGTGGAGTGCTCCGCCCGCACCGCGCCGGCCGCACCGCGCAGCCTAGCTGTGAATGAAGCGGCTAATCGATGCAGTGCGGCCGACACACGGCGCGCGGGTGAAGGACGTCGTCGTCGCCCTCGCCCTCCCAGCGTCCACCCACATCACGACATATCTCTCATAGAGACCTACAATCTAACTGACGCTTTAGTCTTTGTCAGTTTAACTGCCACATACATAGCGTACGAACAATGACGTCCATAGCTTTCCTTCTTGCTAACTGTCTCCCTTATGTTTGCTGATATTGGGGATTTATTGTAGTTTTAGATAAGAACAATAATTAACAATATAAAGGGACCATGAGCCAATTAAGCTAGGCCTTCTGCTTCGAAGGTAAGCTCAACTTCCGCTCGCTCCACATAATTTTCTGTACATCGCTTGGATATTTTTGCTCTTTACCTAAAAACTCACGAAAAATTGAGGTAAACCGGGTTTAGTTTTGAGGAACTTCTCGGTAACTTAAGTCCTTGTATATTATATTATTATTTCTGCAATGAGTTTTGAAGAAATATTTTAAACGACGAAATGATTTTGCCTCATGTTTATTTTAAACTATCTACGATTCGCCAACTAATATATTCTGATCATCTTCTGTATCTATTGGAAATTCATGAGAATAGAGCGTGAGTCAACAAAGTATTACTCAATAGTAAAAATAACATGCAAATAAATAGTTTATAAATGTATCTTATCTATTTTAATGTACATAATATGTCTCGCGATCAAGAATTTAAATAAATGTTAGTCACATTTGTGACCGTTCAAATAATAATAATAATAATAATTGATTTATTTCGGATAACAAAGATCCATAGAGTGTTAGAGTTAGAACTTATCTAGTGTTTAATAATCAAAGAAATTATTAATTTTTCGACAGCAATAATTCTCTTCCGATCCTCTGTTATGCATGAGAAATTATTCATTACCTACATACCTTATACCTCACGCAATCGTGGACATTTTTTTTAAATAAGTAAATAGAGTATACTATTTAGAGTAGTGCATGACAAAATAATGTTCAATGTCAAGTTTGTCCGGTGCACACTGTGACTCCAACGTTTACATGGAGCGTGCCAAAAGAATTTGGCAGCGAGGAGGCGGAAACGACCCAGGGAACTCCGCCACCCGCTGAGCTGTCGGCGTATAAAAATCTGAAATTTCTTTTCAGCGAGTCGTGTTCGGCAATATTGCGTGATGCAAAGATGATAACGCCTAGTTAATATTTTCTTATAACACGATTATAATCACTAGCACGTTTTAACCTGCTCACATCATTATGTTAGTTTCTAGATTGTAAGTTAATATTGTACATTGATTATTTCGTGCATCTATACAAAATGTAACAAATTATGTATGTTAAGAAAATAAAATATTTATAACTTCCGTTTGGAACTATATCTGAAAAAGTTAATTCTGTCATGATTTCTATTTCAAATAAGTTGTAGAGCGCTATTGGCGAGTGCTGGCGCGCTGCCAACTACCGGGCCCAGCCAAGCACCAATACCTTCCAAGCTAGCTTTTTAATTTGTTGCTTATGAACTTAGCTACATGTTTATATTGTTTTACCGTAAATGCAGTAAAAATATATCCCACCTTCTTTGTGTATGAACCATTATCAAAATAACCAAACGAACAGCAGATCTGATATATGTGTACTTGCACGCTAATTATGTCGCGCAGTGTACCGCGCCTCGAACACTCATGTCTCATGTCACACTTGATGAGGAACATCCGAAAATAGCAACAGGGAACAATAATACATTTTTAAATAAATATTTACTTGTTGTTACACAACTAAATCAAAGCAGTCATAGCACCTTTGCTTCTTTGTAAGTCTAACTCGGTCTCGTGACCAAAGACGATTCGTTAGCATCTAATAAAAGTGAGTTAATGTAAGATGTCTTCACTGTTTATTTGAAACTAATACAAAAGAATGAGATCACGCAGTTTGTTTCCACGGCTGACGTTAAGCTGAGGGTGACGTAGACGACACAAATGTGCCAAAAGTACACGACGTCATATCGCATCATTGCCGCACAAGTATGACTACATGGAATGTTCATCGTTAGTGCATCATACGCTCTTTTGCTACCTTTCAAAACTTAATGATTAACGGTACAGAATTAGACAAAAATGACAACTAACATGGTCGATAGTTAATATTATTTTAACATCGAGATTTTCACTTGTGTACATCGCTAGATTATAACAAGCTGTTTTTAATACAATATTTAACAAAATTCATCGATCGAGCTGCACTGTGAATAAGTTGACGCTCTGAGCTATGTATGTATGTGTAAGTTGACTTTACACTAGGTGGTACATTCAGCGCGTGTCGATGGTCAATAAACTGTGTGCAAATAGCTCGCCATCTCGCCATTACAGCGGCACGGCGATGAGGAAGGTCCGGGAACAATAATATCGCGACTTGCACCGCAACTATTTGTTATGTCCATCACTACTTGCGCTATAGTTACGGTTAATACTAAAAGCTGAATGTTTCAATCGATGTCGTTTTAATGTTGTCATCGAAATAAGAATCTGACGTGAAAATGGTTAATGCTCAAAGAAATATGTTTGAAAATATTGAAACGGGCACATTGGAACAATAAAGGCGCATCTGTTGGAGAAGTTGCGGGTCGCCTACGGATAATGTGGCGGCGCGGACACCGGACACCGCACCAGCTGCTTGCCGTCCCCGCCGCTCCCAGTCCCCGCCGCTCGCATCACACGACCCAATCAAAGACATGTTTATACATCGTCGTTATTTCACCCGTTTTACATTATAACAAAATAATACTTAAATAACAATTAAGTGTCCTTAAAATGTCAAATGTAATTTAAATCGAAATTTCTTCTCTACGCTTTTTACATAATTCTAAAAAAAATCCTAGACTTAGAAGGATGTAAAACCAGAACGAAGGCGCAGTGACTTGAAGACATCGCATGCTTGTGACACGAGCTTCGACTCTCGATGTATTATTTTAACGTTTGCAATTGCGTACAGTTGTCGTTTCAAATCTCATTAGTTAAGCCGTAATCCAACAATGTAATTAGCTGCAAACTAACATCGTTGTTATACATATATGATTAAAACAAATCCGCTTCGCATCCCTCGGGGTCATGTTACATCTGATGTTATTTCAATTTATCACTTCGTATTTAGCCGCTGTATTTGCATGCTCTATGATTGGTCGTTCTTTAATATACGAACACATTTACTAGAAAACAAATAATTAGTCATGACTTGTCAATAGTTAGATTTTTCGCAACTAGATAAATGATGTGCAAATATGATGTGAGGGCGGACGTGCGAATGATGCATAGAGCGTGGGCGCCATCAAAGGCCACGGCCCACGGACTACGAAACACGGCACCGCTCGCAACACTTTCCTACGGCGCTTACGGAGCGCATTCCTTCGCGTTCGTCATATGGACATAGAGACCCCAAATATAAGGGATAAAATCACTTCATACAAAAAAGCTATGAATTTGTGATAACCAATTGCCTGTCAGTTGTTTTAGATTTTTTTTATTTAGTTAACGTAATGATGTCACTTGCCTTCGCATTTCTAAAGAATGGAGTTTTAAGGACAGACTAAATTTCTCAATAATATTAATAGCTTTTATTTTGGCCACTTGTTAGTTTAGTAGAGCATACGTTTTTGGTATGGTCGAACCGGAACCGTTATCGAATTGGGCTATAATGACTTTATACAGGAAAACGAACGAATCACATTTTATTTTAATTGTCATGATAAGAAGACGCTCCGATAACCCAATAATGACAATAGGGCAGTGTTTATCGGCCATTCGGCTCCATTAGGCAACGGAAGTGCGTGCCGCGACCTCGGCGCAGGACACGCGACCGACACCACGAGCCAGCGGCTGACCTAACTGACAATCAATATAAATTACATACGTATAACTTTTATTAATAACATTTTATCCTTTCGTTATTCCATGAAATTTGTAAAACACGAGTAGTCAATATTCTTCCGGTTTTAACAACCGCATGCAAGAGTCTAACATATTCTAATCACTTACAAATTCTGGGTTACTTGAAAAACTTTGTCCATAAATTGTTAATACTAACGTAATGTTCGGAAACGAGCAGAACTACGCTAGGAATGCGGCGAGCCTCGACGGCATTTGCAAGGAATCTAATGAAAAGCCACATTGAACAAAACAAATATAATATAAATGTACCGCAATGTTGCACTGTAAAACAAATTAACTGCCTAAAACCTTGGGAGCCATCTCATGCGTGGGGGACTGAAGCGACGACACGACATGAAACGAGAATTTTAGTTATCCAAAAGCATGTTTGCTAGTTGTGTCTCCTTGTAACGTGTTTTTAACCGACTTAAAAAAGGAGGAGGTTTGCATCATTGACATCCTCTCATTTAGTCTGTGCCCCGCGCCCCCAGGCGAGGCGCTCTTCTCGACACCGCCGCGTCGAGTGCCGGCCGACAAGGGGCTGCGGTTAATTGTAAGTGACTGCGCATCCTTGACAGATTTACTGGCTGCCGGGCGAGTGCCTCGCCTGATACATTTACCGTTACAACTGTTGCATCATCTTAATACATATTTAGATTTTTATGCATTTCGCAGACAATTTTAACTTTGTAAATCAGCTTTTTATGGTAATTGCTTTGTGCCTATTTAACAATAGATGTAGATTTACGATGCAACTAATAGATTTATGAAAAGTTTCCATTTCCGGGGAGGTATAATGATGCAATGATGATGGAACAATGTTTTGCGCTGCGTTGCAGGGAGGAGGTGTGCAACCACTCGGTGCGGTGGAACGCACAGTTCTCTTTCGTGTGCAAGATGTGCGCCAACGCCAACACCGGCGTGCTCGAGCCCGCCTTGCTGCGCGTCTCCGTGCGCAAGGAGTGCAAGGGTACGTCACATCACGCCATCCTTTCACTTATTCTTATTGTATAGTATGACAGGATAAAAAAGCTAACCGGTATCAAATTACATTATTATTTTTTTATATAAAAGAAAAGAGTGGTGTTTGTGGTGACAGGCGGGCGGTCATATCAGAAGCTGGGCTTCTGTGACGTGAATCTGGCGGAGCTGGCGGGAGCGGGCGAAGCGACGCGCCACTGCCTGCTGGAGGGCTACGACCCGCGCCGCCGCCAGGACAACTCGGTGCTGCGATTGCGTATTAAGATGAACATGATCTCCGGCGATCCCCTTTTCAAAGTGTGAGTAATGCACACACGATTATTATGTATCCCGAAATCGATGCGGGCCGGGTCTTTTTATGTACTGACTTGCATCGTTGTTGCTGCAGGCCGGAGCGCAAGCAAGAGGTGACGGAGGGCGGCGACAGCGGTGCGGAGAGCGCCGCGCCGCCCGACGACGACTGCGCCTGCTCCACCAACAGCTCCGGCTTCGGTTCGCTCACCGGCGCCAAACCGCATGGTAACGCAGCATATAATGGCGCTTTATACATCTTTCACTCACTAAAAAGAATACAATACTAACTAAATTGATACACTATCGTCGAATACAGTACCTTTTTTATATGTATGTAAAAACATCAGCTGCATGAATTAATGAAGTAATAACAGTTCCAGTGTCAGAGGGTATGACGCCGCCGACGATAGCGGCGCTGGCGGGCAGCGAGCCGCCGCCCGACCACGAGGACACGCCCGTGCCCGACTACAACGGTACGTCACCTCACCCTATACACCTAACCTGCGAGAGGGATAGACCATATGAAGGAACATAACTGACTCAAATGGAAATATGTTTTAAAAATAATCTTTGATGGTGTGTGTAGTAAAGTTAACTGGCAGCATTTGTGTGTATTCGCAGCGGTGAGCGGGACCACGGCGCCGTGCGCGTCGTGCCAGCAGCACACGCACTCGCGCAACTCCTCCAACACGTCGGGCGACATGAGCAGCAAGGTGAGCATAGCTTTTTTCCTTTTACACTCTGCTTTCGGCAGATGGACTAAAACCTTGAACATCAACACCGGGAACACGTATTTCTTTTGCTATTGTTCTCCTGCAGCAATGGTTGCAGAATTTAAACCTAAATGCTGTCTATAATCTTAATTGGACAATAGTTTTTGTCCAAAATATTTTTAAGATGTGAGGAGTGTTATTTCAAGCTTAATTGAAAAGGATACTGTATTTTATGTCGTCGTCCTACGAGTCGGATAAAATAAATATTAGCCTGACTTACAGGCGTCGGGTTACGGCAGCTCGGTGTCGGCCGCCT